GTCCTCCCTCTGACAGCTCTTGTTTATTTCACTGTCAAGCTGAGATAAATTAATGTTACTAAGTATATTTCAAATATCAACTATTTAAATTAATAAAATGATTGAACAAAATACGATATTCACACAAGTGGAATTTCATCAATGATGTATTATCATCTGAACATTATTTAATGATGGGACTCTTTCAATGCAATCATGTTTAACAAATAAATATTTCATTGCTTTATATGTTTAACGTCAAAATGAACTCGCCAAACGGTATAAGTCCTTCATTAAAATAAAACAAAAAAACGTATCTTGATAACGTTTTATTCATATTTGATAAACATATAAAAATTCTTCTCAATTTGTAAAGTAAGTTTTGACCAAAATTATTGATCTTATTTTATTGTAGCAAATGTATTTTTAAAGCATGACTACAGTTCTTTGGAAAAGACTGTGTGTGTCTTTAATTTTTTGAGAACAATTGTAACTTTGAAACAATCTTCTAAATTTCATCTATCAATTTGACATGAATCCAATAAAGTAATTAAAATGTCAAAAGAGTATAATAGAAACGCAATAGAAACAACACAATAATTTTCTTAATAAATTAATACTGAAAACGAAATATAACTGTTACAATAAAACATGAGCTTATGCTCACACCGACTTAAGCAGAATTCAACCTAAAAAGACCGTTATGCATCACTCCGAAATTGCAGTTATTTCAAGATTATAACAATGCATTATTTAAAATTACATTTTGTGTTTGATTGCGTGCAAAAATATTTTTTATCGAAGAATGTTCATTGTCGAAATAGGGATAGTCATATTGTTGCTCACTTTTCTTCTTAGCATCTTATGATGTTCTTATGTTTTTTCATGAAAATAAATTTATGTTAATAGTCTTTGAATCACAGATAAAAAGGTGCGTGCTTGTTTGTGTCTGTTTTTTCTGAGATTAAAACGATTAATTTTGAAACTAACAGGTTTATTAACCACAGACGAATCAGTTATGTACTCGTGTAACAGTTTTAACCTTAAAGTAACGATTCTTATGTGCAAAAGTAGTAAAATTAAACAACATGTTATTTGATGAAAGGAGGTTCTTAGGTTTTGTTGCAAAATCTAGAATCAATATAATAAATACTTAAATGGCAGAAATATATTGTTTTTCATTGCTAATTCGTTAATCACCTATTTTTTCTGGTTTAATGTTTAATTAACAATTTTAGTAACCTTGCCCTTTGCACGTTATTCCAGGATGTGACAGTATATCCGATTTAACATTCAATTTGACGGCATCAAACAAACAAACAAATTTAATTTTTTGAAATTGATGTATCTTTATCTATTAACAATAAGAGATATTTACAAAATAATGTTAAGGAATTATGTTTGAGGTGTGAAAGGAACAGAAAAAAATTAAATCATATTATTGACATTTACTTAACAGACAGATATATCCTCACTGTCATGTACTTGTGTTGACTTTTACCATTATTCAATACTTAAGAAAGTTGTAGACACGAGTAAACACAGATAATTAAATACGTTTAATTGCGAATCTACGACGCAAAGTCGGACATATACGAAGCAATGATATAAGTCTCAATGCAGACAGATAACTCAATAGATAAATTCAGTCTTAAGTAAGATTTCTTTGCAACAATAACCGCAAATGACAAGAAACTTATGTATTGTTTTACTTATTTACAGAAAACTGTTTTATGTATATTTTTTGCTACGTATTTGGCAATTGCTAAATAATGGTATCTGGAAGATAGTAAAAAATGTAAAGTTAATTTAATTCAGACATTAAAGCATTCAGACATTAAAGCAATTACACTGAAATTTGCTCAAATACAAATATTTGTGACGTGCATTTCCTTATCAACCTACTCCTTTATTTTAAAGTTAAACATTTGCATTGCTAAGTAAGGTCTGATTGAACTGCAACTTTTACCAGTCTGACGTACAAATTGAATTTTAAATCCATATGGAAGCTTGTTTGATTTATATGCTTATTTTATTGCCATAACTCCCATGAGTTCCAAGTTAGACGATTTGATAGATCAGAGTTGTATCACAAAGTAGATTAACGTCAATCATTTTGGTGAAGATATATTGAACTTATTTGAATAGTATTGCATTAAATTGGACATTTGAATTCAATTCAGGTTTTCTTTACTTTCATAGTTAAATAAATAATTATCTGTTATTTAGAGTATATTTGTAATTTTAACTGATCTTTCACTTTATTTTGGTTGTAATAAAACGTCAGAACAGAAGCAAATACTTAATATGTAAAATCTTCCATAACTTATCAATTCTTGATATGAATATTTTTAGAGTTCATATGTAACATGATTTACTACAAACATTTTATAAATATATGATAATAACTCATACATGTACATATTTTCAAAATTCAAAAGCCTCTGAATAAAGAAACTTGTGTATCACTTTCATGAACAATTTAAATGATTGTTTTATAATAGTTATCCTTTGAATTTTCTTACACATGTTATACTATAATATAAATATCTGACCTTGATTGACGTTAATTGATCAAATTATTTTACTTCCCATAATTACTTTTCATCGAATCATTCTCTTGACACAAACCTCTTACAATGCAAGTATCAAAGTGACAACCTCATCTAGAGGCTTATGATGAATTCCATGTTGTAAAGAAACAATGTAGAGTTGATGTATAAAAGATATTTACAAACACTCAAACATCATATTTCCATCTTATCACCCAATAAATCTTACAGTTTGCACCGCACTTTTTTCAGTCAATCAATGACTATCATACTGACTCTTAAACAAACATTTGAGAAATATGTACACAGATATTTTAAGAATAAACATTTAAATTAGTATTATAAATAAAATATCATCTGTTAAGAGTGCTGTTTCAATTATCAGGTCATAAATCAAAAATCAATATAATTATAATGTATTTTATTTATGTCTGATGTGTTTTCACTAAAACATGACATTATAATTATTGTTAGAGTCTATACCAAAACTGCTATATACACCCAAGTGTAAATTTAGTAGACTAATAGAGAATCTGGTTCAGAATGTTCACTAGACCTCCACTAATGTAAACTTGTTCTCTGTTGATGTAAAGCCATATATGACGCCAATTAACCAAATGACGTCAGGAAAAATACCCTCAATATAGTTCAACACGTTTTTATCAATTATATTTTTAGTATGTTAGAACAGAAACAGATATTAATTAGTTTAAATGTATTATGATACTCTAACCCCTGTCGCTAATTTTTTAAAATCATATGTATGCATCATATTGTACGGCGGCACAAAGGTGACATGTGTGTGCTTTTATTTATCTCGTGCGCACGAGATACTATGTCGTGGTCATAAGTTACTAAGTCGTGGCCACAATATAGTTAAGCCGTGTGAACGAGATACTATGTCGTGGCCACGAGGTACTAAGCCATGGCCACGAGATAAATAACAAATCTGATTACACCATTTATATAAATTTTCTAATTAACTAGACATGTGCTATTGTACAAGGATGCCTTTACTTCACCAGCTTGTAAAAGTGCCAATTATACAAGTTCGATTGGTCAATAATTTTACATTAAGCGTCATTGTGACCCTGTTTTTTGACTCAATGACCTCGAAATTATTAGGTGTCATCTACTGATCAGGTGCAATAAACTTTCTATGTTACATAAACCATGGCTTATTTTTTCCAAATTATTCATCAGACAAGGATTTTACATGAAGTGTCATGTTAACCTTGACCTCAATCATCCATATATGCTTTCTATTGTCCATGGGCAATGTCCCTACCAAATAAAATAAAACAGGACTAAAGCCTTATCAAGTTATCGTTTAAACAAGGTCAACAGGCCGTAGAACGTACAAACTGACAAATTTGATCACACAAATTGTCCCCACAAAGGGCTATAACTTAGTCAAAATTAATGTATGAATTATGGGCCTTGGAAGGTGACTTCTAATATGATCCTAAAAACATGTATCAAGTTTAAATAAAATAAATATCTTCAGTATTTCCAAAAATCAATGTTGTCTGTAAAACTTTACACATATTTTTTTAAGATTAAAAAAGTGATAATATATACATATACATAGTGTTATCTGATTAATTAATCATCTTGTTCGCACGACTTACTTTTCTGGTTCCAAGGACTTAGTAACTTGTGGACACGACATAGTATCTCGTGGCCACAACATATTAACTCGTTTCTACGACTTAATTATCTCGTGGCCACGACTTAGTAACTCGTGGCCACGACATAGTATCTCGTGCCCACGACTTTACTATGTCTTGGCCACGACCTAGTAACTCGTGGCCACGACATAGTATCTCGTGCGCACGAGATAAATAAAAACACACACACGTCACCTTTGTGCCATCGTAATATTGTTTATTTATCATTTTTCCCCTTCGATTGATGTGTTCTATCAAATATTTTAACAAGAAATAAAGTGAATAAGCTTGATGTGAAATGAAACTTTTCTTGTCCTGAACCGATCAAAACATTCGGACCTCTTTTCGAGTCCATTTATTAAAAAACATCAGAATTGACTGATTCGTCGTTAGTTTTTTCCTCCCTTGTCATTCATTCATTCATTCATTCATTCATTCATTCATTCATTCATTCATTCATTCATTCATTTAATTATTCGTTCATTTATTCGTCCATTCCCTCGTTCGTTCCTCTATGGAACAAACGCGTTAAAACGCTTTTGGTTGTTCTCAAATTTTTAATCGTAAATTAATTTTAATCAACCTGATTTTTACAAGCCTAGATTTATATCATTTAATATGCACATGCATGACAAAACATGTTAGGAACTTTAACTTTTTTATAAAATGTTAAAGCATTTAGCTTATATGAACACAAAATTTAAATTTCGATAAATTATCTGATGTATAACAAACCGTGAAGTTTTACGATGTTATTTCGAATACGCTTTAAAAATATGTGTATAGAGTCTACATGTTTTTACTTCCTTATATGATGGGGGTGAAATTATCAAATATAGGTTAAATACGTTAACAGATGACAAATAACATGTGTTTTGTATTGAATATAAGTTTATTTTTCTTATTTTGGATAATTATTCACAGATATCAAGGTAAATAACATGAGAAATTTTATTTTTATTCTTAAATATTATGAATAATGAGCGAACCTTTCCACAAGGCTACACTTACTTCCTTGTTGTATAGATTTATGTCACTATATAGATAACATAAACACACAATTAAATGAATTGATATTGAGCAATATAAGGTCGGTATATTTCGTAGTGCATGAATACGATTCCACTAAGATAATTGTTGTCGAGGTTATTTGGGATGATTTTGCAATGCAATGCTTTGTTTATTACATCTCTGGATGAAGTATTTTTTATAAATACATGTAATATAGAAGAATCAAGATGAACTCATAATGAAAGCGGATCATGTGGTATAACTAAATTCAAAGAGTAGTTAAAGGACTTATAAGCAATATCAAGTTTACATAAATTAAAGTCATTTGAATTATAATGCATATTACCTTTAATCAGGATCATTTATTATTGATAGATTTATTTTAGTACTTGGCTGTACTTCAACAACTGCAACTCACAAAAGATCTGGGGACGATGTGATCATTCAGTTTCAAGCAAGAACCGTTAACACTGAGGATTCTTCTCTTAGTGTTGTAAACCAGATATTGTCGAATCTTGACTCTCCATTAGTGTCTGCAGTATATAAAGATGGTGTAAACACATATTTATCCGCATGCAACAATTGCACATTTACTGGTAACGCAGCTACTGGAGATCTCTCAGTAAAAATTGACAACTTACAATCACCAAATGGAGGCACATACAAGCTTTCAGTTAATCAAGCAAGCAGAGAAGTGAAGGGATGTATCGTGGTCTATATCCTAGGTAAGATAAAACAAGAAATTTACAAAAGCTTTCACCATATTTAAACATACAAAGTACAATACATAAACCAGGTAAATATATTATGTGCGAAGTATGTAGCACTTTAATGAATTATATACTCCAAATCCAACTATAAGTTGTTTAAAAACTATTAGGGTAATTGTTTCTCTAAGAATAAGTTAAAAATATACAGTATCAGTAAAACAATCAAGATAAATTTATATTACACTAATAACACATAGTGTTTTGGGCAACAGTGAATGTCTTATCACTTTTTCGAGGGATGATATTTTTACTGTTTTCCACAAACCTATGTGTTATTTATTTATTTCCCCGAATAAATATGTAATGATAAGAAATTTTAAACTCAATCTAACTGTTACAGTAACACAATGAACCAAGAGTAACACTAACTCAACTATCGTTTCCTGCTAAGTTGTAATTGTACTTTTAGCAAATAAAAATATCTACCAGTCATATAACATACAATAAGCTGTTTTTTATTTAGAAATCTACATACAAACCCATTTCTACGGTTATGATATGTCAAGTCTGATCCTATCCAGAATATTCTTTATCGCCTTTAACTGATTCTATTTGTAAAATAACACTTTGTCGCTGATACCATTTTTACACATATTTCCACGCAATAACTTCCGATTAAATTGAATGCTTACTTTCTTACTATTCAACCAAAAGATATTCAAGACGCGAACAGCATTCTAGGTTACAAATAATTCAATTATCTGGCTGACATAGTCACTCATGTGATGATACCCTGAAGTGAACTTGGAAAATATAGCGGCTGAATAGAGAATAAACAATGACAGCCTATCATGTTTTTTTTACAAAATAACACACGTAACAGATATGTTACAAATACTGAGTACAATATTTATAGTCACGTTCTGCACTTGCATTAACAGTAAGAATAACTTCCCTTGGCCTATAGAAAATCAACATAACAAGGTAATTACATTAGCAGTTTATCATGATGTATACGTAGGCTCTGTATATATTTATTTGAAATAATGATAATATTATATAAATGATTTTTTTTCTTTGAATAATGATGAAAGCTATTTGAAACTGATTTATTAAATTCTTTACCGTAAACATAAAAAGCTTCTTATCTATTCTTCAAAGTATACATAGTGTTGTCTTACCATTAACTTTTTCACATGTGTCTGCAACATCTCTATATTCAATTTTCTTTGAAAGCGTACTTAAAAGCAATGATAGGAAAGTAACATAGTAACTTTCCATATTAATTATTTTATTATGTTGTCAATGAAGCTTCTATACTAAATCTATTTGCTTTGTTTTTATTTACAAATGGTAGACTTTATTTGTCTATATAATTATGCAATGTTGATATATAGTTATAATTTTCGACATTAACAGGTGTGCCTACAAAACCAGTAATTAAATTGGAAAAAATGCCATTAGAGGGCGAAAGTGCAGTATTAATATGCAGTAGTGCATCGACAACAACACCTAATGACCCTAACCTTAGGATGACATATAACTGGAAAGTAAACAACAGCGATGCAAATGACCAAAGATATACTTATTCTAGCACTGGAAATAATCTGACGATATCAAATATTGACAGGAAAGATGTTAATCTGCAATTTACGTGTTCAGCAACAGAAGATGTCAGTAATGCATATACATCGGTCAGCAGTGACCTTTTAAGAATGAATGTCTATTGTTAGTATAATTAACAATGTATATAAAACTTTAAGTGACTGTATCTCTTTGTATTTTGAAGAAGTTGAAAGGATGGGATGGCATAATATTGCATACGTTATAATGCAATACTAAGATCTTCTATCTATTTTGCTCATATTAAAAGCATTTGCTTTAAATCTAGAAATAAGACCATCCTATCACAGATTTATGAACTATGATTTCAGTAACTCTTTTTCATGTAAAGAAGTAAAAGATCATAGCTTAACACCTTACGCTTTTGTAAAACTGAGTGAACCAGCTTTTACTGCATTATTATCTTAGTTTTGTGATGTATTACCATAGTAAAGATCAAACTATTATTTAAGCATATCAATTACATCTGTATTTAAGAATGTTATTCACATATAATATTTGACCTTGGCCTTATATTATCAAAGTTCTTAGTTTTATCGACATGCCTTATGTTATAGATACTTTGTATTATTGACAACCTAATTTGAATGTTCCGTAAATATTAAAGGAATATTGTTTTATGCAATTTAAGTTAACTAGAAAAAGGGTTCTGTTGAGACAACAAACAATTTTTGAAAAGGAGAGATACTTCCGAGAAGCATTGAAAACAATAACAATTATGAAAATTGTAGGCTCGGCCCCACCAAGTCTTTTATAGGGTAGCAAGCAAAACTTCAACACATTCTGATATCGACTGAATCCAAAACTTAATGAGTCAGTCCCATCTAAATGTGCAGATATTCTAGATCCCTTGGAAGTATTGACAAAATCAAAATTATGTGAAAACTGAAGATTCGGCTCCACCTCTACACATTTTACATTGAAGTGCTTGCTTTGATTTCAGATGCTCCATTTGTGAAACCCTTTAAAGTTGGGCCGATAGTTGAAGGATCCACTCTATCAGTTGAATGTATAGTTGATCCTGGTAATCCGATTTTAACTACATATTTATGGAAAAGAAAATTGAATAGTTCGCTTGCAAACTCTTGGTATGATATTCCTGATTCTTCAACAATTGGAAATCAGCTCGTGAAGCAAAATATTTCCAGAAAAGATGTTGGACTCTACAAATGTACTGCAACTAACGATATTACACAAACAACTAACCGACAAAAGATAGGATCAAGCTCTGAAACGTTTTTCCTCGATGTTTTATGTAAGTATTAGTTTTTTCATAATTTGAGAGATATGCTATTTACTCGGTATGCATGACGGAATTGAGAGTACTGACGTTCTTACGTAATTGTCAATTAAATTATGATTTTGAGAACCTCAGATGAGTGAATGATTTGAGGTTCTGTACGTTTTATAATGAAATGATGAAACCGCATTTCCTTTCAAAATCAAGGTTTATATTAATATTATGAACTCATTAATATAATACAATTTTGTTGATAGCCTTCACTATATCTATTCTCCATTATTGCATCCAAACTTTTAGAATTAAATATCAGATAACATGCTTATATGAATGCGACCTAAACAACAAAATATTTTTCTTTGATACAGACAAATGATTTTACTATACACATGTATGATTTGCATGCAACATTATTGAAACAAGCGGCATGCTTCATCTTTAAGATCCGGCATCAGTGTTTTCATTTGTTGTGAAAGGACATAAAGGGACGTCAACTGTGATTCTGGACGAAAACGATGAAGGCGTGCAGTTATTATGTGAAGTTGACAGCAATCCAGATTCGTCTGTAAAGATTCTATTTAAAGGCAAGGTTAAAAATGAATCACCAGGTGTTAATCATGTCTCATTCACTTTAAATAGTGTATCATGCCTTGATAGCGGTAACTACACGTGTGAAGGAAGCAACAAGATTGGACGGTCTTCTAGAAGGAACATCCAGTTACTTGTTAATTGTAAGTAAAATATCATTGACCGTAGAAAAACTACAGTATCTATTTTAGATACAAAGAATGCAAAAGCACCAGTTTCTGTTTAAACTTTCAAGTGTGTTTTGGGTGTTCCTCCTTGAGTGTTTAAGCCCGTAAATTTAAAATCGTCATATGACCTTTACCTAATGATGTAAAACATAAAATACACAAAACTAGAAAACCCCCAAAAAAACCCTAAAAAAACACAACAACAATAAGTTTTCTATCACAGGTACACCGCGTCCGCTGTTTCGGGTAGATCAGAATATTTCAAGCATATTACACGTGCAGGCCATGATGAGTTTTACTGCTTTAGCCTATCCAAATCCAGGCTCAAAGGGATTCTCTTGGCAGAAGGAAAATGGCGCAAACTGGACCCCAGTTTTGGCTAATAGAGATTTACTGATAACATCAACAGCGTTAAAGTCTAATTTGACTATCCTTAACATAACAAAGACTGATTACGGACGGTATAGACTCATTGTAAATAACAGTATAGGAACGTTCATTCAACACTTTAACTTGGCTGAAACGATATCGGACGAAGGTAGTGTTCAATTTATATTTAGTTTGTATGCACGTTTATGTGTTGATACGCTTAGGTTATGATATGAAGAGGTTGGCAAAATTTATTTCCGTCTACAAAAGTCGACGAGGTAGTATAAAAAATAGTGGTCTATAGTGGACCTAAAACGTGCGTACAACTGTCTTATAAGTGTTTTTTTATATCAAATTTTAAGTCACCGAACGTTTTGTTTGCCTGCAACAGAAAGTACGATAATTGCATGAGGTTCTAGTTTATAAATGGATAAGAAAAAAAATAAACATCGTATGATGAATCAATCCACATCTTTACAAATACAGATTTGTTTATGTTGACTTCTTTATGTTTATTATCATATGGATTATTATATGGTAATGTGTACCGATTATAAATTTTGTGCTATCTGTGTTCTGTTCCTGCATTACATAAAACAATTTTCTTTTTTCATTTTCAAACGAGTTACCAGGAGAAGAAGCGAAATGTAACATTTGTAATCCTATTTGTGATGCTAATAAAAACACAATCATAACTGGAGTATCTCTTGGAATAGTGAATGCAATACTTGTTGGAATACTGGTCACCGTTCTGTATAGAATGAAAGCAAGCAAAAAATGTAATATGAATATAATAACTTAAATGTTCTAAGCATAATAACCAAAACTGTGTTCATTCCTATTTTAAATTAATGTTTTGTTTACAACAGGCGTTATTTGGCAAACTAGACATTTTACAATTTCGCAGTGGTTATCATTCTGGCTGTTAGAAATATAATAAAATATATAAGCATGTTAAACGTCATACTCAGATTTTTTATATCTAAATAAAATTGTTAAATAATAGATTTGTTGACGACATTGTCTACGAAATCAATGGACTGTGTTGACGTTTATAAAATGAATGAAAAGTACAATTTATCATTTTGTAGATCGATATGTTCTTCATTTTTCAGGGTCGCAGTCACATGAAGGAAATGTAAGACAAGAGTAAGTACTTTCGATATAAAGACACCTATACGTTGATACAATGTTTATGTAAGATTTTAAAGTACAAACAATACACTATCCGCTTAAGACATGAAATAGATATAGCAATAAATCAACCTAGTATTCAGTGTTAGTACGCCTGATTGTTTAACATATGCAATTAAATGATTAAATTGCGTCCTTAAATATTTTTCATGCTCGTTCTTTATTAGGGAGTATGTCAACGTATCCCAGTCTAACATTGTAGAAGACAAAACAAGGACTGGACAATACAGCGTTAGGAAGGGCACCGATATAAGCATCGCCAATGTTACAGTCGAGGGCAGCTCACAGTATATGGATCTTTCTGAATATTCAAGGGATGATAAAAGTACATATGACGAGCTCAAAAAGTAGACATGAACTGCATGAAATACTGTATGTGTTTGCACGTAAAACACTGAAATTATATTATATATTTTAGGTTTGTACTACGGTTGCTTTACTTTAAGAAATAAAACTTTAATTAATTATAAAAATATATTTTTCAAGGTCAAATCTCCTTGTAATATTTAATATTTTTGTTTCGTATCCTAAATATCTGAATAAAAGGGATTCTTCGGAAGCATTTAAACGGCAAAATTACATGAAATTTGCAGACTAGGTTTGATTGAGTCTGTACACAAGAGATAATAAAAAAGTGCAGCAATAAATTCTTCATTATGCCTACATAAGAATAAAAAATTGATGTAGAAACTCCTATCTGTTCTTTCTATTTATATGTATTTGTATACTTGCAATAAGTGACGTCAGAAAGTTCTTAACAACAATAACCTTGAGGGTCATGTATATAACCTTTGATTTACGTTCATTTTTAACACCGATTTTGCTTGGATTATCTCTTTGATGATGCGTAATAATCACTGTAGCTGTTCTAAATGTTGATATTACATAAAAAGATTAATAATTTCTATAATATGATATCATTCGGATGAATGAATGAAATATCTTACCTTTACATTAAAAAGTATTTTTACAATTGTACAATTTTGTTTCAAATTTTGTATAGATATACAAGTATTTTTTGTTGTTATTGTTAAATCAGAAGGCCGTACATAAAATAAGTATAATAAATGTTCTTTTTTTTAGTAATCTTAGTTTGTTACCTTCTCTAAATAAAGATTTTATCATCATAAAAAAACATGTACTATACGAATATTGTAAATTTAAAGATGTCTCTCGAAAAAGAAATATGTATTTATCAATATTTCTTCCTAAAAAACAATAATAAACAAAATAATGTATCCAATTATACGTCAAGAGAAACAAATTAACTGTTTTTTTTTTGCAACTATCTACAGAAACAATATATCAAAATATTGAATATAATAAAGTATATGGTTAATAATTGCCTTTATTTCAAAATTTCTGACATTTTTGTACAGGTTTGTTTCATAATACAATTTATCATTTTCATTGTTCTTATAGTAAAATATTTTTAGTATTTTTTATTCTTCGTATCACCTATACATTAACGTTTATGACTAACTTTGCTATTTTATGACTGTCGAGGTTGCACCTCGTTCAATTCTTTGTTTAATCTCATAGGAGTTTATAAGATATTGTTTTTAGTAATTTTCGCACATAATTATAATCACGTTAAGGTAATTGTGCGGAAACGTGATTAATTGATGTAGACAAATGACTGCAGAGAAAAGATTTTATCACAAAACATTTTGCAGTGAATGAACAATAAACAAAGCCCCTTTTCCCAATAGACAAATTCTGCATTTCTGGCGGCAATATGAACAAAGTGTTAAATCAGCGAGATATATTTATAACAGACATGGAATAGATAGATTGATGTAATTGATAACAATATCATAATTAAGTTAACCAACCGTTAAAAATGCAGTAATAAAAACCTACAATGGTTGTCCTATACATCAAGAGTAATCGTATAGCGTCAGATCTATTGAGGGTGCCTTAAGAAAAACGTAAACTTTGTTGGGTTTTTCTTTCCCGCTGGTAAAAGAAGCTTGCACCTTTTCTGGAATGAAGAACAACTACAGTCTCGGTTATAAATTTATTTTTATTGTCATGACAAATCTAGAGCGGCCACCATTTTATCAATAAAGACGACTGGCTTTTAAGATAAGCCGGCTTTGAAGTCATTACAAACTAAAAAATGAATGATGATCTAAAACGCCGCGTTAATTATATTTCATTTACTAGATAATATACAACCTAGCACTAGAATCAGTTCCGATTGATAGTAAGTTACATTTTATTGCAATAATGTTTTTGTAATCACATCAAGTCTGACATTTGTGAAATAAATATATTGTCAATATCTTCAAACTTTTGTAAGATTCATACGTATACTATCATTCATTCCATTGCTGTATTTTCATGTAATATCTGTTTAAAATTTGTGATGTCCATTGTATTCATTGACCGTTCATCAGTGACCACAATATTTGTTTATATTACTATACTATAGTTTATGTTGATGTGCATAGTGATTGGATATCGGAGATAGACATCCTTTTTGCAGTACATGATATATACTGTATTTCATATTCATGTATCATTTATAAATTGTTCCTTAATAAACCGGTACTTAATATTTTCTTATTACAGAGTTATTCATTTTTCTCGTTTCCATTACTAACCCTAACCTACCATGACTTGATGAAAAGAAGCTGAGTAAAAAGACCGGCGACACATGGAACAATTAGTACTAATAAATGAGTGTAAAGTTTCTTGCTGAAGGAAACAACGAAATGCTCCTTTAATCCACTTTATAAACTATAAATAATTTGATCATTTTATTATGTTCTATAATAAACGCAATAATATTGAACTTAATGAAAGAGTTTCATCATTTAAAAAACTAATAACTTTATACATGTTCTAAGCAATGAACATGCTGGTACACAATTTGATTTGTCAATGAGTCACTCTTCTCAGTACATCGCCTGGTCAACTTAATTGTTTGTACTTACATTTTAATCTGTTCAATTTGTTTTTTATTCTGTAAACATCACCCATTCAAACCTTTTCATTAAGCAATAACTTGCTATTTTATTACCGTCCACAAAACAGACTACACCAAAGTTTGCCCTACTAGCATATATGATATCAGGATTTGTAATTCTCTCACATATGATTTCACGCTAAGTCAATTGTGCGGAAACGTGATTAATTGACGTAGACAAATGGCTGTAGAGAAAGGATTGTATTACAGTAAGTACACAAAACAAGTCCCTTTTCCCCCAATAGGCCGATTGTGCATGTCTAACTGCATTCAAACTAAAGCCTTAATTCATCTGAATGTAAGTGTTACAAACATAAAACTTTATAATATGCTATTGATAACTAAATTTATCAAAGACCCAATCAAGGAAGCCATGCGTCAAACGTGCGTAAGAAATGCACAAAATGGATAAATTATCACATTGTGAATACCTTAGTCAAAATCGTCTGTTTTGCTAAGCGAACACAATCTAGTTTTATCTTTTTATTAAATAGAGAAAAACAGAAGCACAAAATGACAAAGTTAAAAATAATGCAGGCACAGTTTCATTGAGTCTGTTTTGATGGTATTGAAAAATGAAAGTTGTCTTCCAAACCCCCTAGCACCGGCTTAAGCAGAATTCAACATTTAAACATGAAAGTGGTGATTTTTAAATTAAAAAAATAATTAAAATAAAATAAAGCATTTTCTTCATTATCAGGGAAGAAGGTGTCTGTCTTTGAAAGAAGCGATATTTTGTTGTTGTTTTTTGGTCGTGAAAGAGCTCGGATTACAGTAAACAAGTACTGTTTTCCAAATGAATATGTGATAGAAATCATTTATTTACTTTTACAAAAACCATTTAAGCGCAGTTCATTAGCTCATAATTTATCTATTTATTGTTTGACATTTTACATCATTAAGATGAACTAGTTTGCGTAGACGCACAGTATATGGCGCATTCATGAATGAGATCATATCATTGAAATGTTTTATGTGTAATTTGCGCAATAGAAATGACAATAAAGCAAGAGTTTGTTGCAAAATAAAACAAAAATAAACCTGGTTTAGGGAAATATAAATAGAGATGAAGATACATTTAGTGTATTGTGTATTTCACTATTATAATGATAGGCAAATCTATATTTCCTTTTATTCACACTGTCTTATACAAGACAGGTGTAAAAATGATTCTGCCTTGTAAAACTCGATCAATGCTGGTGCTTGCTCTTACTACCGAATGGTGAAGAGCGACAATAACTTTTCAATCTTGCTATACAATCAAACACACATTTCTTTAAAAGGGATAGCCAAATAACTTTTTTCCATAACTTTTGAAAACGCTCACAAGTTTTCAAACTTCTTTGTAGTGACATAATGTATGTAAAACAATATTACTATATAAAATTAGTATTATTCAAACTTGAGAATCAAATGCGTGCTTGATTTGCTTTGATAATATCGTAAAAAGAAGTTCATTGTTTTAGAATATCTTAATTAAACAACAATAAAATTTCATATATAAAATCAGAAAAAAGTACGTAAATTATTATAGACGTCCATAACATGAAAACTTCCCAACCTACGATGGTGATTAGCACCAATAAAACAAACAAACAAAACAAACAGAAACAAAGAGAGAAAAAAAAAGATTTTTTAACATGGAATTTTTCCTCTAGCTTAAACTGTCATAGTTAAATCATATACTCATTTAGAAACTTAAATATTTCACGGTCGGGCTTCAGTGGTCTGTCTACACGTTTTCAGCTTAACAGTCTTGCTTATTCCGACACATTTTAAGGTATCATATCCACACTTATACAACTGTTCAAAACATTTTAATGCGTTATTTTTCGTTTCGATCAAAGAGGTTTGATAATTTTTTACAAAAACATGTGCATATATGACTAGTACTTATGTTAAAGGAACTAAACAGAAGCCCAAAGACTTTAAGCATACAATTTTAATTCTATACACATATCAGCAAAGATAATGAAACAGTAATATACGCATAATAGTAAGAAAAATACTCATTATAAATAAAATGTCGAATTTTCTTTGCCCTTTGTAAGCGTTATTTTTGGAGTATTTTTGACAAATAAAATAATCATTCTGGTAAATAAGGATATACCAAATTATCTAAAATGTTGCACTCAAGTTATTGGCCCACAACTAAAATAAAATGTATAAAATGTACAAAATGTCCAATATTTCCAACCCCGACATGCCAAATACAATATGAGGACAAATCATTAAAATACTTTGATACTGAAACTTGTTTACGTTGTCTGGAAGATATGGATATTAAGCCGGATTGTCAAATGAGAACACATTTTTATAAAGATGGAAAACGTTCCTCAAATATGACCAGGAATATTTATTTTTAAATTAGCGGAAAATTATGAATTGACGAACCAAAAAATATTTCCAATTTATCAGGTAAAATATGAGGAGTATACGAACTTGACCTTGCTAATGATTCTTAAATTCTAAAGACTGATACAAACATAATGCTGTGATTTATTTAGATCATATACATCTTGAATTTAAAAAGAATTTTGTCTGATTGAGAGTGATATTTAAATGCAAGTCTGTCTACCTAATCAATCCATGGCAAGCATTTGAGAAATATATCTAGAATTCATATGGATACTTATGCGTAATTTAACCCCATGAGATTCAAATTTAGCATTTAATGATACCAGAATTGTATCTCAAGGTAGATTAATGTCAATCAAAGAGAACTTCAGACGTTATTTGAATATATTTTGTATTTGAATATTCTATTTTAGATAAAAAAGAATAGTAGACTGTGTATAGGATAAATCTGTATCTGCCTCAGTCTTATTTTTGAAACGATTCTTAATTGTCAACGTCACATCAAACTGGTACTGAAAATGTGTGCCATCCATTTTTAATGTATATTGTTATTTAAGATTTCTAAATGATATTTGTTCCGGACCTTATCTTAACGGCAACTATAACACGAAGAACATTAAACAATAACAAATGGCAGTTGAGTTCGAGTATTGCCCGAGGGAACATAAATCAGTATGTACCAATAAAAGAGAATTAACTGATGATCTATTCACAGCGTGTTCGATCAAATCAGTCTTAACAAGCTTAAAAGTTACCTTACCTAAACTTAAAAAAAAAAAAATAAATAAAATTGAATATGCATTATTCCGTGTTTTTCGAAATGTGTCAAGCAAAATGTTTTTACTTCATATGATGATAATCGAAATAATCCATATTATTGAAGGATAAAAAAGCTACTGATGGTATCTAATGAAACGTTTCATAAAATTTACCGATTGTAAACCATAATCTAATGGTTTATTCGCAAATGAGTTGTAAAATAGAATGCCTTTGTTGTTTAGCAAACATGCATATCATACAGTATTGAAGACAAAATAACAACCATTTCTCGAACTGCTATTCTCGGCCAAAAGATTTCTTAAGCACGAATAAAAATCATTTGTTTGGATTCGGTTGCAATTGATGGTACCAATTTACGTCTAAATTGAAATCGAAACTGGCAACAACAATGGTATTAATAAGATCTTGTTGCATGTTGAGAAAATTGAAATAGCTTCGAGATGTGAGATGTCATGGCGATTGATAGAACTGCTAATATATTATTCTAGATTCGCATCTTATGTTGCAAGTAGGTTTTGGTAATAAACAAAATAATAAAAAAAAACCTTACTATTCAAATGCAGATACAATTTTGGAAATGACATTAGATTACTTTCTGTTGAAATATAAGTCTGTCTTATGCACAATGGAGATTACCAATGGCATCAAAAAAAGTCCTCCGTCACTCTCTGTTAACTTGGTCGTCTATTTATGATATTTGCCCGATTTCATGTTAATGTACTATAACTTTCGATGCTCGTCTGTTTAAAGAAAGAAGCACTGTTTAACCTTTCTCTCTTACAAAAGAAACAGGAATAAGCTGTTTAAGTCAGCGTTGAAGCAGTGGAATTATGATGTTTAAAGCTACTTAAATCGTTACGTTATATCACAATCAATACTATTACACTAAATCTGAAGTGATAACATTCAACCCAACAGTTCGTCATGTGAGGCATGAAACTTACGATTAAGCATACAGTTCAAGTAGTATCTTAAAGGGAGTCCATTGTGGTTTTTCAACATGACAGGATTATTCTTTTTTCGAGATTAATGCTATTAATTCTCTATTTGATGTAGGTTTCACCAATAACTTATATTTTTATGACAAAAATGTATGTACTTATCATATAAGACGTATTTCGTAAAAACGTTATTTGTTTGTACCAGTATTAAAACTGTCCCCATGTATTGAAAAATACGTTTAAAGTATGATTTTGTATTAAGGACCATGTAATCCACACTTTATGCTTTTTGTAACGATTGTGACGTGCTTTCTAATAAAAGTAATTGTTGTTGTTGGTTGTTGTTGTTGTTGTAAAGTTACAGATCATATTCTAGAAACAATATTCTAACTGTGAAAAATTACCCAAAATTGAAAAGCGGTTTAACTCGGACTTTGTATTAGAGCAAAAAAGAAATGCGAACTTCAATTTATTTCTGAGTATATTTCATTCATATCGTAGACATTTA